TTGCCAACCCGGGGCAAAATCACCCAAGATCTTCGGGTCTTTGGAGTGCGATAAGCGGGGACATGCTGGGCCTGGCTGGGGGCGGGAGCCGGCAAGGGCCTCGCGCGCGCGACGGGCCGGGCAGGCGACCCGGGGGAGGCGAAGGTTCTAGGCCCCACACTCGCGGGAGCCACTCCCCTTGAGTCAGCCCACGCTCAGAGACCGCGCCCCACCGCATTAACGCGACCCTTCCCCACCTGTCCCTGCGGACGACACTCGGAGCTTCCGTAAACGTCACATCCGGCGCATGCCCCGCCCACTCCGCTGGCCTGTTTAAATTATGTTCCCAAGAATTTAGGACCCGGGGCGAAGGTGTAGGGGGTTGGGGGACGGCGAGCTGATGGGCGGGGCCACCTGCTGAAAATCTGGCCAATGAGGAGAGAGCTCGACGGCAGCCATCTTGGTAAAGGAAATCAACAGGGAACGAGGGGAACCAAGCAGTTAAAGGAACCAATGACCAAGTTAATTTTTGTTTTTAGAATTATTTTGAGTTTGGGTAAGGGTTTCTTGTCAGATAGCCCCTATATCACACTCACAGAAATCCAGCATTCAAGGAGGCATTGCTGATCCTGAGTACCTGGCTAAACTAACCAGTGTTTCTAAATCGGGGGGGGGGGGGGGGACGCCTGAAATTTTCAGCTGGTTGGTGTTACTTTCTACACAAAATCGATGACTTGAGGTATTAAGCAGTTGCTTGTATTGCCTAGAAAATACTATAGACTAATTTTTAATGTGAGAGCACCAATAAAGTTTATTGATGCTTCAAAGCAGTGGGGACACAAAGGTCTGTATGACACAGTTTTTGCCCCTGTGCCAGCACAAGATGGCTATTTGCACCAAATACAGAGTGGCATAGTCTGTGTGGATGTGAGTATGGATGCATGTATGCACGGTTTCTTTCCATAAGTGTTCAAGCCAGCTAGCCAGCCTGTCTCAGGAGACTTCGTACATCACCACTCTGAAATTTTATGCTTTCATTTTAAAGTTTGACTTTCTTGGGGATACTTGACTCCCCTCCAATATACCTGCCTCCAATTTTGGGAGCCTCCCTGCAAGATTTTTAGTGATGTTAGTGATTACATGACTTATCTTTCTAAGTCTGGTTTAAGCTCCTGTGCTGGTGTTACCTCTTCCACCAGGCCAGCATCCAGATCTTTAATTTTTCTCACTCTCTTTTGTGTATATTTCTCTTGGATTTCTCCGAAGTGATTGTGTGTGGTCACTGGCTTTTCAGACTTATAGGTGAAAGCACTTGGCAGATTCTTTCCCACTTACAAGCATAAATATGTATAGCAGTGCTAGGATTGGCCGATTCTCCTGGATCTTCTCAGACAACTCTTGGAAAACAGCTGTAAAGGGCATTCTCCTGTGTCTTCAAAACTCTTATTTCTATACTACCTCTTTCCTTTCAGAATGTAAACATAGTGGGTTGAGCCTAAAGAAATCGATGCACTAGGGGTGCTGGTCATAGGGAGGGCATACAATACAGGTGGGGTTCTGGTAAGAGAGAACATGAGATAAAAACCAACCTATTCAACCTCTCTGTAAATATTTCTTGAGCATCTGTTATGTGCCAGTTTCTATTCTTGGTTTTAGGGAGAGAGCAGTGAATAAATCCAGCAGGGGCATACTGTTATTGTGGTAGCACAGAAAGAAACACAGCTAATGGGGAGTGGAGCAGGGGCATCTGCTCCCATTGAGCACTTTCTCCAAAAAAAAAAAAAACAACCTCTTTTTGCAATGTTTAACTTAACAAGTTAAAGAGTTTACAGAAGTGCTAGATGTTAAGACTGTGATGAGAATGCTTTAAGGCTTTATGATTAGGAAGCACATAAAAGAGGGGTATGCACAAACACAGCAACCGCCACACACATGCTGTCACTGATATTAGAAAGTAAATATGCCCAGGTGGTGGCAGTTCTTAAAATAATGGGTGAAAGGATATAAGGAGCAGTATATGGTCCTTTTAGGGATGAAATTTTTAATATTGACTAGAGTTGCTGGCATCTGGGGCAAGTGGTCAGTACTCTTGGCTTTGTAGAGACCAGAAGTGACAAGCAAGAAAACTATGGCCAAGATGAACATCTGAAATTCTTCACTTACTGATTAACTGGGAAGGTTGAAAACTGGACAATTTTGTACATGCAACCAGGAAATTAAGGATACAAAAATTCTGTTGGTTCTTGACATAAATGAGACTAACCTATTTACTCCTGCCCCAAAGGTTGGAGGCTATGCCTGGAAAGTATTCTGTAAGCAAATGCCTTCAGCGTCTCACCTGGTGGGCCAAGGCCAGGCTAGGAAGTGAGGTGCTTTTTCCTTTTGGTGCCCATACCTAGCAACAAACACTTTCCCTGAACAGTCTTCATATAACCTCTTGCATACTTTAATGTCACAGACTTCTTCACTCTTGCATACTTATTCCTACTTACTCATTCCTCAGAAACATCAAGGAACTCTTGGAATACAAATATTTTGATATATAACATCATGATATAGAAAACAGGCCTAGATGAGCTTCCTGGGGGAGAAAAAACAAGGAAGATTCCAGGAAGATGTCATTTGCCTACTTGTTACTCCTGTGATAAGTACCATACCTAGAGGAGCAATCTCATTAATACAGGAATGACATCCATTCTTATCTACTACAATATATTCTTACAACAGCAGCTAATGTTATGTTTAAAACAAAAATAATATTCTATTGCTCCTGAGTTTAAAACCCTCCAATTATTTCCATGGCACTTTAGATTTAAAATCCAAACTCTTTACCCTGCTTACAAGTCACTAGATTCCCTTTATGACTCTGACCTCATGTCCCACTCTTGCTTACTACTCTGTACCCACACTGTCTAAACATCTGCTCCTCCAGTCAAGACCTATGCACAGCTGTTTTCTCTTCCTGGGGGCTTTTACCCTGATCTTCCCTTAAATGGCTCCATCTTGTCATTCATGTCTCAGTTTATATGTCACCTCCTCAAAGAGAACTTTTTTGACCACACACTCTAAGTAGCCACCCAGTCACCTTCTATCACCTTGGTCCTATTTTAATTCATTTTGTAGTCCTTACCACTGTCTGCAATAGTCTGGATTGTTTATTGTCTTTTACCCCCCCCCCCCCCGAATATAATCTATAGGAAGACAGGAGTTTTTCTGGCTTGCTCGGTTTTATTTCTAGTGCCTAGAACAGCTTGCAAAACCAGCTGACCCTCAATAAAGATGGTTGGATGTTCAAATGTTGTTGAACTAAATGTCATTTCACTTCTTCAAAATGAATTACAGGAATAGGTAGCCAATTATGGTGATAACTGAGATGAACAATGAAAAACAGTAGTCATGGTGCTCTTTCGACCAAGTCTCCTGCATGAGGCAGTTAATACTAGGAGCAGAAAGCCTCCAAAGCAGATGCCTTCGTAACACCCTCATGGATGAGTATTTAGAGCCACCAGAAGGAAAAAAATTTTTGTAAAATGATTAAGCTTCCCAAGGGGGTGCTAGGTGAGCTCAATGCATTGGGACACTGAAACAGCCTACCTTAAACATTGCTAGGGAATCAGAGTGCTCTGAAAGCAGAAATGGAATGTGTACCACAAACAAATTGTTTAGCCCAGCCAGTGTGGCTCAGTGGATTGAGCATGGTCCCATGGACTGAGAGGTCCCTGTTTGATTCCCGGTCAGGGCACATGCCTGGGTTGTGGGCTCAGTCCCCAGAAGGAGGTGTGCAGGAGACAGCTGATCAATGTTTCTCTTTCACATTGATGTTTCTCTCTCTCTCTTAAAAAAATCAATTAGCCCTGGCCGGTTTGGCTCAGCGGTTAGAGTGTCGGCCTGCGGTCCTGAGAGACCCGGGTTCGGTTCCCGCTAAGGGCGCGTACTTCAGTTGCAGTTTGTCCCCGGCCCTGGTTGGTTGTGCGGGTGGCAGCCACTCGATGTGTTCCTTTCACGTCGATGTTTCTCTCTCTCTCTGTTCCTCTCTCTCCCTCCCACTCTACCTGAGCAAAAAATGGAAAAATGTCCTCGGGTGAGGATAAAAAAATAAAATAAATCAATTAAAAAAATTTAAAAAATTGTTTATATTGTTAAAATTTTTGCTATAAACCTATTGGGAATATAAAATGACAACTATAATTTGAAAAGTAAATACTTGGGAAGAAAAAGATGTGGGATGAGCTTTTCAAAATAAGGGAATTAAGGCAAGTGTACTGGGATCTTTTACACTTGTATTTTACGACAACATGCAAATTATGTTTCTTCTCTTTTGGTATTGGAATTACCTGATGAAGAATGTGTTCCTTGAGAAGACTACAGTAAAACTAGTAACAGGCAAATGAATCTGAGGTTTGGAGCTCCACCTATAGTTTGTTTGAAGACTGGTATCTCCCATCACCAAGAAAAAATGTCTAGTTGGGAAAATGAGTTTGTATGCATGCTTGGAAAGATTTCCAATGTGTGTTCATTGTTACAATTAATGCTTAAATATGTACATAAGGCGTCATGTACACGAGAGACTTTTTACATTTTTCCTGTCAATGTAGATTCACCTTAGCCATCCTCAACTCTATTCAAATTTCACCCTTTTAACCCTAACCTCAGACTTTGCATCTTACTTCTGCCATCTCCCCCACCCCTGCTTCTTTTTATAAACCCTTAACATCTCTCCTATTTCACCTTTCAGGCCATGGACGAAGTTCCTTCCTTTTTCTTCCGTTCTTACCCCTGTCCCTCATACCAACTTCCAAGTCTTTTGTTCTCATGCAGCCTTTGATCCCCACCCCCACCAAAGACAAACCACAGTTAACAACATCTCAAAACTCAAAGGGCTTCTTTATTACTCATCTACTAATCCTATTACATTTATTTATTCAATTTTATTAAGATTTAAAATATATCAGAATAGGAAATTTATATCTATATGGGAAAACAGCTAATATCCACAGTGGCACCAACATTCCTAGCATCTCTTATTTTGCGTAGCCGTAGTATTGAGAAATTCCCATTTCTTTTTCCCTTTCAATAAAATACTGCATTTTCCCCAAAGAGGTGTATTTGGCAGCGTTCTCACGCTCTAGCTGGGCCTTCTTCTTCATGGCCTCTCGCTCTGGCCTCTGCTCATCTGTGATGGGCTTTGACATTATTGGCCCAAGAATATCGGGTCTCCTCCATGGAATTGGTTGGTGGGCAAAATCCTGGAGTAGATATTGGTTTTGAGGCTTGGGTGGAGCCCAGGGCTTGGTCACAGCAGTGTGAACAGGCTTCTGCTGGAAAGAAGTACAAGCTGATGTTTTGTAGGGTACCGGCCTAGAAGCAGCAGACTGAGGGACACTAGGCCATTTAGGGTAGCTTACACCTGGCCTTACTGGATTGGTCGAAATTGGTTGAGCAGGTCTAGCAGGACCTGCCAATGATGCAGGAGTTGGTTGGGATGAATCAACTGCAGTAGGTTGAGCTGAGTTAGAACCAGATGGGACAAAGTTGGTCAAATCTGGTCGGGCTGGATTAGTAGAAATTGGCTGAACTGGTTTGGAAGGACTGGTCAAAGATGCAGCACTTGGCTGAGATGGATTGACTGCAGTAGGTTGAGCTGAGTTAGAACCAGATGGGACATGGCTGGTCAAACCTGACTGGGCTGGGTTGGTTGAAATTGGGCGAGGTGGTCTGGCAGCACCTGTCGTAGATGCAGGCATAGGCTGGGATGAATTGCCTGCAGTAGGTTGAGCTGAGTTAGAACCAGGCTGGGCTGGGTTGGTCACAGCAGGCCGACGTGATGGCAGAGACTGTGGCCTGCGAGGAACAGGTCGAGCTTGGGGCTTGTCCAAGGTTGGAAAAACCAAAGGTACCAACTTGACTTTCCCAGGAGGTGGAAGCTCGTACTCAGATTGAGCCGAACACTCTTTTTCAGCACTGCCATCTGGTTTCTGGCGTTTGGCTTGAGTTTTCTCAGGACTTTTGTCCTCACGTGAAGTATCCAGCCATCGTTTGATAGCCATAGGTGGCCGGAGTTCTTTGGGGTTGTTTGCATTTCTCAGGGCCCGGGAAGAAGAGAGTTCAGTTTTCTTATCAGTCTTCTTCCCCAGTGCATGAAAAACCTGCACAGACTCCAGCATGTGCATACCTAGGCAGCTTCGAGGCTTTTTGAAGGTCTCTTGGGTCAGCTCAGGTTGGTTTTTCTTCCATTTCATCTTGGGAATCATTGGCTTCTCCTCTACCTTGACTTTGTTCCCTGACTGCTTACTCTCTTCAGCTTTCTTGTTGTTTTTATTGGTTCTTTTGGGCTTTTCCTGCCCATGGCTCTTAGCTTTGCTGATCCTCCTGGGGGCAGCTTTCTGAGGTTTGCTGTTAGACTGCTTGGCTGTGTTTGAAGGAGCCCTGTCATTGGCTGCAGCATTGCAAACTGCCAGATCTCCCACAATAATGCAATCTGGGCTCTCGGGCTTGATTTTGGCCTTGGGAGCACCACTGATAGGCTCGGAGGCCATATGTTTGTTCTTCCTGCCTTGATCAGAAGGAGCCTTTATAACACTAGAATTTTTCTGCTCCTCGTTCAACTTGATGGCTCTGGTATCTTTGGTTGTCATCACTTTAGGAACTTTGGATTGATCTAGGTCATCCAAGGAATTTAAGACTGGTGGAAGTTGAATATCCTCCACCAGTGTAGCTATGTCTGCAAAACCATCATTAGATTCAGTCCCATCTTCAAGTGTGCCTTGGTCCTTAACACTCAGGAAACTTTTCCCCAGACCAGCATTTTCACAACCAGACTGATCCTCTTGGCCAACAGGATCAATGTAAGCCAGGAGCTGGTGAATATCAGGGATTTCTAAAGGGAGCAGTGGAGTGTCTTGGTTTTCTGTTTGTATCTGGTAGACATCCAGAGGCTTTGAAAGCATGGTGTTAATATTATCCGAATTCTTATTGTCTTTTTGTTTCTGGCTTGGAGCTGGAGGCAGTGCCAGGAAATTACTAGGACTCTGGACTGGAGCTGCCATTGAAGTATCCATAAGCTCAGGTGGTGGATTATTTTCAAGTATCTGGATATTGCTGTTGCTGCAGGATGTGGGGAATTCTGGCTTTTGTGGTAGACAAAATGTTTGGCCTGGAGGCTGAAATCTCAGGGAGGTCTCTATCCCCAGGGAAGTCTCCATCACTAGAGAAAAATCAAGGGAAGTCAGTCAGTCCTGGTCAGCAAGGCACTCCCTATCACCAATGCAGCAATTGTGCCCTTCCAACATTGGGGATGGTATTACTACCAGCTCTGCTAAGCATCATGGACAGAGCCCTGTGCTAGGAGATATGGCAAGTGTTCTAGTTCTTACTGGTGATCATTTGAAGTCAGTGTTTCATGGCATTCTTTGTATTTCACAGGAGTGTAATAAGTCAAATAAAATGTAAAAATTATTGTTTAAATGTTTCACAGGCTTTCATTGTTAGTGTGGAATTATTTTATTCTCTCCACTTTACTGAGAAAGTAAGAACACTTCACACCACAGACAAAAAGAGGAAATAGAGATTTTCCTGATGAAATAAACAAGCAAGGGCAGATTTGTAGCCTGCTTGCTTTGGACAAGATCTTGGAGCACAAGGTCTTAAATTGAGGCATAAACTAAGGAAGTGAGGGAAAGTTAAACTGACACTATCACAATAAGAGTTTGGAAATGACTTCCAAATATACTAAAGCAATAAATCAGAGAAGCGAGTTCATTACAATGTGGCAGGGCTGGGGACTAATCAGGTAGGACAGTGAAAAGTGTGGTATCCCTTGGTGTGCTCTTAGAATTATAATAATTTAGCATACACGGCTCCTACAGTGTCCCATCTTCCCTCCTTTATTAAGTGTTCTCAGAGAGTCTGAAATGGAGAACACTGACCGCGGGTGGTAGTTCTTAAAGTCACAGGACTTAATTCTACCTATCTGTGGGCTTACCACTTCCCAGGTGCAGGTTGACCTTATTTTTGAATGCTGACCCTATTCCTCTTCCTTCTTGCTGTTTGGACTCACCTTGAAAACTTGTCTGGGCGATGGATTGAGCAGGCACAGAGTAGTAGATTCCAGGGGTGGAAGCCGGTGCTATCACATTTGTGGGCTGAACCTTCTTTAATACCATGACCATTTCTGGTTGTGGGACAGAGACCCTGCTCTCTGTGTAAGACACAGAGCCATAGGATTGCAGGTAGGGGCCACGTTCTCCAGAGAGCAGAGGCCCCAATGTGTCTTGATTATAATAATATACTTGACTCCCTTCCTGGTAGGGAAGTGACAGGCTATGCCCTTGATTTGCAATCTGAGATGGTGCCCCCTGAACAAGTCTGGCAGAAAGTGATGGATATAGAGGGACCATTTTATTGGCATCTGAGGTTTTATCATACTGGGATGCCATAGACATGGAAGAAACAGCTGCGTCCTGGTCAATGACAGTCACAGTGAAGTCTCTGAATGATGAGGACTTCTTTTCAGTGTTTCCTGTGAGAGCCCGCTCAAAAATACCAGGATTGGAAGCAGCTGAAGTGGAGATCTGGCTCTGGCCAGTAACTCCGGACAACATAGTTGTGCTAGCATGTTGGTAAAGGTAGGCACTACCCATGGGTGGTTGGAAAGAGGTGCCAGAGGCTGAGGGCAGTAGCCATGCTGCACTGACGGCTGGAGCAGAGATTCTGGAGAAATTGCAGACGCTTCCTGTGAGGGAGGCTGCATTGCTCACCACCGGAAGAGAGAGCTGCAGAGACTTAGAAGGTCCAAGTAAGGGTGGATTTTGGAAATTCTCTGTAGGGAACAAGAGAGTGATGAAAAAATCAGAGATTGATAAACTCTATGTTTGAAGAATAGCATTACCTTAAGATTGTTGCTATCAGAAAGCCTCTAATACCAATACTCACTGAGGTATCAAAAATCAGTGTATGTGGGTTGTAAGTGCTGGAGCAGTTTGCTACTCCTCTATTAACTGCTGTGCTCCCAACTGGGCAAAAATGTGCAGAAGACCCAAGTGGTGTAGTTCATACATTTTTCTCTAGGCTAGTAGCAATCGCTGTCTTCCCTATCTTCCCTTGGGCCTTTGCTAGTATTGATTTGTATGCTCTTTCTTAGAACTGATGCATTTTAGAACCAGGACTCTTTAAGGAACCTGTGTTCTAACATTCTCATTTTACGAGTGAGAAAACTGAGGCTCAGAGAGGTCGATGGATTGGTCAAGTTCTCCCATTATGTTAGTATTAATACCAGGTTACATAACCCAAATGTCCTGACTTCCTTGTCAAGGCTCATCTCTGAGCACTGCACTGCCATAAAGTGGGAGCAATAGAACTCCTAATAGATGCGGATTTTTGTTTTTTTGTTTTGTCCATGAGAAAACTGTACAGCTACTGCTGTTGTAATCTTCAGCATCTCACTTTGCCTGCACGGTTCACATGCCATTGCCTAGAATTCACATATAGCTCAGGACAGTTGGTAAATTTAAAGTCATTCTTACTCTCTTCAAGCCTTGTTTCTGATCATACCCCAAAATGACTATTTGAGAATGAGTTTCTCACAAAGTGACTTTTTGGGAAAAAAAAAATTATATCCTCTGAGGTTTGGGTTACTCGTCTATAAAGTCATTATAATAATAATGGTAATAATTCATACATGAATAAGTGACATCTTGCATGATTTATATGGAAGAAGATATAAGTTCTGGAAATACAAAGAGATAAATCAGGAACAACATATATAACAAAACTGGAAAGAAATAGACAGTATGAAAATGGGGGCATGTAGCAAGCATTAAAACATAATAAATTTACTAATAAACCAAGTTTTATACATAGACTATTATAAAAATGAATATTGCCTAATCTTTTTTAGTGAATACTATTAACCAAAAAATCAGCTCACAATAGGTGATTTTGAATGAATTCTTACCAATACATATGAACAAAGAAGATATATCAGTAAAAACTGCATAAGAAGCACTAAATGTGGATGTATAAGTAGCCCCAAAATATGTAGATAAATCTCTCAGTAAAAATTATTATAAAGCAAAGAGCAAAATAAGTGTAAAGGAATTCCATTATTGTGCTCATTCTTATTTTTTTCTGAATATCTGAAAGTAACAGATATTTAGTAGAAATATATATATTTCAATTCATATAAACACATAACAAACAGAAAAGAACACTCAAAAAGTATCAGAAAGTTTATATATTTATCTTGAAACTTAGATTGTAATAATTTTCAACATCAAGGCAGTGTCATACCCAAAGCCTTATTAACTATCACCGCTAGAAACTAATTAAATAAGAATTTAATGTAGGAATGCCAAAGGGTCTCCACAAAATTATTTATAGATAAATGTGAAATTAGAGATGTGAGGCTTGACTTTTTCTTTTTCTTCTTTGGTAGCTAAGCTATAATAAAAGATCTAAAGAGAGATGATGGCTGTTTATCAATGTGCTTCTCAGTATTCGCAAGAATATAACTGTAAGGATGAAAAGCAGCTTTGACTTGGAATATGCTTATCACACAAAGGAATTAGTCTTTTTGATTCAAGTGAGGATATATCATTTTTCATAAATCTTAATTTGATTTTTAATAGACAAAACATCTACCTAGTCTAAAAATCAGAACGAAGTGATAAATCTCTTTTCTTCCAGCCCTCTAGATAACCACTTTTATTAGTTTCTTGTGTATAGAAAGCATCAGTTCTAAAATACATTTTTTAAATGTTTATCCTCAAGACTGTCAAGTGCCTTCTGTGTTCAGAGAGGCAATAGAAAAACACAGACAACCGAATATGACTTTTTTGATAAGTTGCTCTGCCTAATGATACCCTATATTCTGTCCTTACGTTCCTTCCTAGTCTGTTAATGGAAGCGTTGGCTAACATCAACTTGATTTTGCCCTACTCTGAGCAGATTTCACCCTCCCCTCTTTGTGCTTTAATTTAAAATCCTTGGTTCCCTTCAATATTCCATGGCAAACTACCTTTTTTTTGCTCTTGAGAGCTCTTCCGTGCTCTCCTGCTTCATTCTTAGTTTCCTTACTTCGCGCTTGTATTTCCCTCTCCCTCTTGGTTCCTGCTGGTCTGTGCTGATGAAACAACCTTAACCTTTCGTACCTTGAAATACTTGCCTCCCTATACTGCAGTACTCTCCATCTATTTTCCCTTTCCACCTAGGTTGGATAGAAACCTCCCAAAACAGGTGAATATTGTTTTTTGAACAGCCCTAAATTTAAAATACTACAGTTGCACCCTGGCGGGTTTACTCAGTGGTTAGAGTGTTGGCCCACAGACCAAAGAGTCGTGGGTTCGAATGTGGCCAAGGGCACGTACCTCTGTTTCAGTTTGTCCCCAGCCCTGGTTGGGTTCGTGCAGGAGGCAACCAATCGATGTGTCCCTCTTACACTGATATTTTGCTCTCTCTCCCCCTCCCACTCTATCTGAAGATATTTGAGAAAAAGTATCCTCCGGTGAGGATTAAAAAAGTAAAAATAAAATACTACAGTTGAAACATTAGCAGTGGGAGACCATTGCACATGAGACATCATATATATAAAACTATATCTATATAGTGTTGTGGCACAAGAGAACCTAAAGACCACCAGAGCCAAATTAAAGCCAAATAGAGAGCAAAACCGGCGGGCGACTGATCCTGAGTTCTCAGAGATCAGCAGCGACTTTCAGCTACTTTTTTATTTCATAGGGGGCTTGTTACAAACTTCTGCAACTGGCATTTCTTGTTGGCCTTGGGGGAGAGCAAGCAAGCAAGTACAGAAGCGGAGGCAGTTAGCGATAACCGGAGGGAAAGGAGGTGGGAGGGAGCTGAGGTGGAAGGGAACTGGGGGAACTGGGTCAGCACGCATCTACCCTGGTATTCATTCTATTTTCTAAGTTCTGAAAAATAACAAATTTGCTTAGAGGACAAGTTCATTTAGAGGAGTACCAGGCCAGCTGGTACTTCCTCAGTTTGCCTCTGAAAGCTCCATAGTTGGCCTTTTGTATTATTTAATCAGGATGAGGTGATAGGAGCAGGCCAGTACCTATAGTTTTCTACATCACTTAGGTTTTCTCTCTGTTTCTGTTGAAACTCTCCAGAAGTCTTGATTTCATTTTCTGTATGGGTGTTCTTCAAGACTCAATATTAGAAAAGGGATTAGAGAGAACAACCAATCTGACATCCTAATGTAACATATGAGGAAAAAACAGATTTTGTGAGAGAGTCAATGACTTGTCCAAAGTCACATAACTAGTAAATGTAAAAATCAAAACTGAAATGAGGTCTCCAGATTTCTAGAGCAATATTTTCCCCCTATTATCCTATGCTCTTTTGACTCCACTGCTAAATTTACGGGTAAACAATATCTAATGGAAAACTTTAAAATTTTCTTTTCTTACCTGACATGGTCAGAGAAGAAGAGGAAATATCCACTGTAGATGCAAGGGACGAGGATGTCTGAGTGGCTGAAGCCAAAGAACACATGTGTCCAGTACGAAGGTCACTGGTCACACTGGTCACTGGTCAGTTGCAATGATCCAAATGTGTTTACAGACAGCTCCATGGAAACCCCAAAATTCTACCGGGTGGTGATAGGTTTGGTGTGAGAACGATGTCACAAAGCAGGCAGTTTAAAGGGATGAGAGAGCCAATAGGGAGGTCAGATTTCCAACAAGAAGACAAGATCGGATGAAGGAAGCCATAAGGGGACAAACCAACACCTAATGAGTTGAACTCTGGGGCCAGATGTGCTGTTGACATGACAGTTGTGGTAGCTTCATTCTCCCCAGGCTCTTGTGTTAGGGAAATAATCTCAGTGTTTCTTATAGACATTCATTAATATAATTAACTAGTAGTTACTTATATTCTCTGTTACATTGTATAACATATACATTTATCATTATATACATTGTTATTATCCTAAGGGAGAATGAAGAGGGACATCTAGGTTGCACAATTACAGTTGTTCTGAAATCATATCAGTCCATCTAATTGGTGAATTTACGGCAGCTTTTAGGGAGCAAAGGAAGGGATTAAAAAGCTTTAACTTGGTTGAAGAGTAAAATAAAGTTCGTTGAGTGCATGTTGTGTTGAACGATGTGGTCCAAGGCTCTTCTCTTTTAGTTCTTCTTGAATCCTACCCTCCTTGTGCTGGCCTAGGCCAGGCCAGGTGGGACTTGTATCTCTTCTTTTCTCTTTCTTCTTCCTCTTCTTCTTCATTGTGGGCATCGTTTCTAGACAAGCTTTGATATTGCATTCTTACACTCACGATGTTACTGCCTGTCAGCTTCCAGCAACAGGGGTCTTTTTTTCCGTGTCTGATGCTTCCCAAAATGGACTCTGTCCATTAGAAGCAAACACCAAAGAGCTAGGAGTCAGCTGATTATAAACCTTTCCTCTATTAGCCTTTGGTTGCAGTTCTTCTGCCCATAATTTGCTACTTCTTGTTCCTTGGCCCATGTAGGCATCCTGCCATCCTACTCTCTTATATGTGAGAGGCATTCGGATATTTTCCTTTTTCCTTCTCACATAAAGTATATCCAGTGTGGCAGTTACTGCAGTCTCCTCCCCCTTGCAAACAGTCGCTGTAGAACTTTGGGCCTCTAGGATTCTCTGTCTGCCATGTTTGTGTGCAAGGCCCAGCAAAAATAAAGAGGAGACTGGTTAGAGAAAGACAAGGACATTCATGGAAAACTGGAAACTGGCAACATGAAAGTGTCAGTTTCTGTGATAAACAAATTGACACATTCTGCCTCATTTTGTATGAACTGAACAAACAGTTTACATACATACAGTGTCAGGCAAAAGTAGGTTTGCAGTTGTGAGTACATAAAACACAGAGTTTATTCTTGTATTATTATTTATTAATTATTTTAATATTTCCCGTACAAACAACTGGATACCTACTTTTGCCACCCCCATATACATAAGCAACTGCCACAAATTCTGTTCACTAGAGAGAATAATCTTAAATATATTTTTCACTTTGCTTTATGTCCTATTACCTCATTTATATCATTCATTGGTATGTTTGTAGAATATCAATTGTTTTTATGCTCTGTATCAATGCTCTGACTTTTTCTGCATGTTTTTTTCCTAGTTGTATTATTAAAGATTCTACCATCCCATGTCATATTGCATGCTTTTCTCTTGATTACTTTATTTATAAGCATCATAAACTAATTTGACATGATGGATTTTGTGGAGAAACTTAAAAAGGGATCTGTGAAAAAGGCAATGTGGTGAGTTATACTGTGTACTCAAGTATAAAGAACAGATGTGGCCCTGGCTGGTTTGGCTCAGCGGTTAGCGCATCGGCCGGCGGACCAGGGAGTCCCGGGTTTGGTTCCCGCTAAGGGCATATACCTTGGTTGCAGTTTGTCCCCAGCCCCGGTTGGGGTTGTGCGGGTGGCAGCCAATCGATGTGTCTCTGTCACTTTGATGTTTCTCTCTCTCTCTTTCTCCCTCCCTTCCTCCAGCTCTATCTGAAGATAAATGCCATATATATATATATATATATATATATATATATATATATATAAAATTGGGTGAGGATAAAAAAAAAAAAGAAAGAAAGAACAAATGTGTACACTCAGCCGGACTTGGTTTGGGTTGCTTCTGTTTTTTCTCCCCCTGGTTAGTGTGTTTTTCATTAACCACTGTTGTGACTGTGAGTTAGGGCTGAGTTGCTAATGACTTATACAGGGTGGGGCACAAATAGGTTTACAATTGTTCATATGAAAAATAATACAATAATTAACAAATATTAATACAAGAATAAACTCTGTTTCCTATACTCACAACTGTAAACCTACTTTTGTCTAACCCTGTATACGGATTAAGCTGGTTTTGGGGAGGAAATCTATGGATCTAGTCTTTTTTTTTTTTTTTCCTTTATTGATTTTAGAGAGAGAGGAAGTGAGAGGGAGAGAAAGATAAAAACATCAATGAAAGAGAACATTGATTGGCCGCCTACTGCATGCCCCGCACTGGGGATTTGGCCAACAACTTGGGCATATGTCCTGGCTGGAAATTGAACCAGCGACCTCTGGGTGCATGGGTCGATGCTCAGCCCCTGAGCCACACCGGCCGGACTCATTTTTTGATAAACTTTTAGGGGTGCCTAGATCAATCTACCTGGGGTCTTTTTTAGTGCCAATGAGTAGGAAGTGTGTGATACAAGATGCCAAGAGCCCACAAGAAGATAGTTAATAAATTTGATATTCAAAGAGACATATTTCATTTATAGGCCTATTTTTCCTTTTATGAGATATGCATTTTTTCAAAGATGGGGTCTGATGTTTATCTGAAGGGTGTTACAGTGTAGAGATATGGCTTAAACTTATATAATTTTTTCAAGGTTTTCCCCCTAAACTTCATACCGCAGATCACCAATTTACATGATATGAGTATGCAACATGAGGCTAACAGTATATGATAAATACCTGCACGCCAGACCAGTCACTTTTTTTTCTGTGTTCCCATGGAAATCAAAGAATCCATAGATACTGCAGGTTAGGATGGTGGTGTAACACTGGGGAAAGTGTGGTAAGATAAATCCTGGTAGCAGTAAAATGTTTACATCTAAAATACTCAGTTCCAGCCTTCAATTCTATCTATACAAACCCCTAATTAGCCCTTGAATGGTTCCCAGCCTCTATAACTATTTATTTTTCTCCATAGTTTGTGCCATTTAACTTTAGCTGTGGACTCAGCATCATCTTAATCGCTAAATGAATCTTAAATGTAGGGGGAGAAACCTAAAGAAATTTATTCCAACACTCTAAAACTCAGCACCAAGCTCTACCGTGACCCAAACCTTTCTTTTTATAGTTAGGATATTGCCTTGTCCCATAGATCCACTTCCTCCACTTTCTGCACTTTGTAGCCATTGGGGTAACTAGGACTTTTTGATCAAACATACCCAGTCCACCTACCCCTGGACTCTTTGTTATTCTTGCTTTTTATTTAATTAAATACTGGAACTCCTCAAACCCCTACATGGTACTTGGGGCCCTACCTGATACTAGTAGATTTTTTTTTTATTCCTCAGTGGAGGATACTTTTTTATTTATCATCAGATAGAGTGGGAGGGACAGGGAGAGAGAGAGAGAGAGAGAGAGAGAGAGAGAGAGAGAGAGAAACATCAATGTGATAGAGCCACATCAACTGGTTACCTCCTGCATGACCCAACTAGGGCCGGGGACTAACCGTAAACAAGGTATGTGCCTTTGGCTGGGATCAAACCCATGACTCATTTGTCCGCGGGCCGATGCTCTAACTGCTGAGCCAAACCGGCCAGGGCAATACTATTAGATTTTATAGTGTCATCTACTTAACTGTTTGGTGCTCCAAATATCCTGTGCTCTTATATTTTCCATTCCAGTGTACTACATACCTGTTAAGCATTCTTTTACCTCATGTTGGATCCACTCCCATCCAAAGGCCTACTCTTTGCTAGTTCCCATACTTTCTGGAAACTCTATTGTGCCTAGGTCTAGATTTTCTGGTGTCAATTATAACCGAGTTTGTGCCCTTGTTCCCACCTTAAGCTTGTGTCTTTTAACAAATTGGAAGTATAAGACCAATATTGTTTTTCTAGTTTCTGACAGATTCATGTCACATTTTGTATATTGTTAAGTCTATAGATATATGTACCAATAATACTTTTTGGGCACTACATGCTTATTGTATTTTTTTTTTTTTTTAATCCTCACCCGAGGACACCCCTCCATTTTTTGTTCAGATAGAGTGGGAGGAAGAGAGAGAGAGAGAGAAACATCGACGTGAAAGGGACACATCGAGTGGCTGCCACCCGCACGACTCAACCAGGGCTGGGGACAAACTACAACCGAGGTACGTGCCCTTAGCGGGAACCGAACCCGGGTCTCTCTGGACCGCAGGCCAACACTCTAACCGCTGAGCCAAACCGGCCAGGGCTACATGCTTATTGTAAATCTTTCATAAATTCCAAAAGAATATTTTATGTTTTAGCATCAAATTTGAATGTAACTAATTATAAATTTGCAAGCTGTGCTGTGCTAACTTACATATTTTTGCCAAATAGCAATTTCCTAATATTAACCCATTTTTAATTATGTGGATGTTTTCAGAATTGTAAATGCTCGAGGATATAAACTTGGTTAGAATATGATTGTCTCAGAAGTGTTAAAACTAGTGATCTTTTTATCCATTCCTTCATTCATTTATTCAAAACTGACCCTCAGTTTACCCACATGTCAAATGGTTGTGAAGATTAGTAACAGTATATATAAGGTATTTTCAGAAAATGGGAACTAGTAAAAAACCAGAAAACATTTGCTATTATTGTAAACAAACAACAACAACAACAACAACAACAACAGAGGTTTGGGGGCCTGCTGTAAGGAAAGCCAAACTCATGAGGCAGGTGCTGAGGTGAAATAGAAAGAGGTTTTATTCAGGAGCCACCTGACCTAGGACTCTGGTCTCAAAGACCAATTCCC